AAGGAGGGGTTGCTATGAGTCGGGGCCAACTCGACGGCACATAACAACAACAACACAGAGCAATGAATGCATGATGCTTTCAATACTATAACCTTTATCAAGACTTCACTGTTTCAAGTTTTACATCTTATAAGGGTACAAAAGGCCTAAAAAAAAAAAAAGTTCAAACTAAAGAAATAAAAATGATTAATGTCCTGAAAATCAGTCCTAAAGCTTATGGACTAACATTAAATTGAGAAATAAAGTCTGCTGGTACATATTCTCAAAGTCTCACTGCCAAAGACTCACAGTGACCCTACAGGACAGAGTAAAACTATCCCATTGGGTTTCCGAGGCTATAGTCTTCACAGAAGTAGATTGCCAAGTCTTTCTCCCATGGAGTAAGGCAGCTGGTGGGTTTGAACTGTCAATCTCTTATTTAGCAGTTGAGCATTTTAACCATTGTGCCACCAGAGTTCCTAGGCTAACACATACTACAGTCATAAAAAGCCTATTTTCTTGTATTAGAAATAAACCTATCTTCCAGATAAGTGGAGAAATAAAAATATCCTTTTATAGCATTATCTGGGCTGGCCATTGAAAGACAAAACTCACCTCATTTTTTAACTTTTAAAATATATTTAAATGTGCCTAAGGATAGGTGGTATGGTAATTTTATGATTAAGGAACAGACAATAGATGGATGATTTTTTAACATCCATCTCAGTTCCCTGACCAGTACTCAATTATGTGAAATGTTACTATTTTGACATTTATCTTTTTGTAGTTTTTGACTATATAAATTTTAAACAAATTTCAATTAATTTCCACTGTATCTAACCACATTAAAAATGCATACACAAATCTCTTATTTAAAAATCATTTCCGAAAACTGTATTAACAAATTTTTTTTAATATATCACCTTTTCACATGTTGACATACCTGTTTCTTTTGAGTTCCTTACTGCAAAAGAGTCTAGTTCTACTGATTTTGGTCTAAGTGGTTCAGAATCTAGTTTTGGTTTTGATACTGGCTCAGCTTCAAATTTTGATGAAATGGTAGAAATTTCCCCATTAACCCTGAAATGAAAAAAACAAACATAAACAAAAATCACTTATATGACCATGTTTTAAAATTGTGATTTAATGACACTAAAGATTTTATACCATAACACTGATTTCTTTCTGTTCTGTAAAACTATTTCTATAATTATAAACCTCTGACTTGGGAGCTCTGGTAGCATAGTGGCTAAGACACTTGCCTGCTAACCAGATGGCTGGCAGTTCAAACCCACCAGCCACTCCTCGGAAGGAAGGTTGGGCAATCCTACTTCCGTAGTGATACTGCCTCGGAAACCCAAGGAGGGGTCGCTATGAGTCGGGTTTGACTCGACGGCACATAACAACAACAACAACAAACCTCTGACTTAAGATCAATTACAATATAATCAGAAATGTAAAAACTATTTACTATATATTCACCTAGAGTAAAATAACTAATAGTGAATTATTTCAGCCTATAGAGAAAATGTAGAAAATAAATACTTAAAAAATCAGTTTGGGCACTCGCTTCAGCACCACATATACCAAAACTGGAACCATATAGAGATTAACATATGACACGCAAATGTGTGAAGCGTTCCTTACTTTTCTTTTGTTTACAGGGCACTGAGTTTATGTTAATGGTGGTGGAGTATTTTGGAAAAGGACAGCAATAATGGTGGCACAACATGAAAATGTCACTGAGCTGTAAATGTGGAAGTTGTTTCTTGGTGTGTATGTTTTTACCATAGTAAAAGTAAAAATTAATAAAAAAAAACATGAACAGGGGGTCACTTTGAGATTTATAAAGGCAATAAAGGTATTTAGGTAAAAGACAAGTCAAATCAATAAGCTAATTTAAAATTGGGAAAACTTACTTGGCTATAGGAGGTGGTGGAGGAACTGGTTTTTCTGGTCGTTTTGAGTATACCATTGCAGGAGATCTCAACAGATTATTGGCTTTGGTGGGTGGAGTAGGCTTCTTGGGTGGGACTTGTGGAGCAGCTGGTTTAGGTTTCTGTTCTAGAGTTGGCTTTTCATCTGCTGATTACAAAATATTTAACAAGTCATTAACAATAAAACTACTTAGGTGTTCTAATTGTAAAAGGTGACATTAGGCTGGAGAAGTATGAGACAAAGAGAAAGACATTAATTCTCATTGTCTATCTATCCATCAACCATCTTAGTTTTACTGTTTACAGATCAACAGATCTACAGTACTAAGGAGGAACCTAGGTGGTGAAAGTGGTTTGTGCTAGACTGCTAATCCTAGGGTTGGTGATTTGAACCCACCCAGTGGTACCAGTCCTCGGGAGGAAGGTTGGGCAATGCTACTTCCGTAGTGATACTGCCTCGGAAACCCAAGGAGGGGTCGCTATGAGTCGGGGCCGACTCGACGGTACATAACAACAACAGTGGTACCAGTACTGAGGAACACAGGCCTCTGAGTCAATTCCAACTCACAGCAACCCTACTAATAGGGATCCTATAGGATAGAGTAGAACTGTCCCATAGGGTTTCCAAGGCTGTAATATTTACAGACAAAGATTGCCACATTTTGCTCCCATGGAGCAGCTGGTGGGTTTGAACTACCAACCTTTTAATTAGCAGCCAAGTGCTTTAATCACTGCACCACCAGGGCTCCTCTCATTAAGATTATAGCAAGAAAACTATGGAACAGTTCTAGTCTATAATACTTAGGGTCCCCATGAGTCAGAATTGACTCAATGGCAACGAACAACAATGATGATGAGCATTTTTTAATGAGTTTGTTGCTCATTTGGATATCTTCCGTGGAGAAATGAATATTTAAGTCCTTTGTCTATTTTTCTTTCTTTTTTGTTTTTAAGGATGCTGTCAAAAAAAATCACTTTATTCAATATTATAGTTGTAGAAATAGAACATATTTTCTTTTAGCAATGAAAAACTAAGAAAATGCCACCTAACATTATTGGTACATCAGTCTAGGTCAGTAGGAAAAAAAATACTGTGATAAACTTATCTCCTTGATAGTACCAACAAGAAATTTTACTCCAAGCTTTAATGGTTTACTAGATTTTTCTTTTTCTGCAGCATTTCATCCTTTCCTACATTTCACATTTGAGAATTGGTACCATCTTTAAAACTTCATTAACAACAAATCCAGCATCTACTGATTTCTTCTCAAAGGGTATTGTAACCCATCAGACAGCCTAGCAGTTTTATTCTTATGAATACTACACACACACACACACACACACACACAAATCAAACTCAAAATAACACAGACGAATTCAATGAATAAAAGAAGAAATCCACTGAGTTTTGGAATGTTTGGTGCACTGGATTGGTCTAGAATTATGAAACCTAAACCTCCTATTGTGAACAGGAGGCCATATTAGAGTCCTTCCATAATATACTGTCCATTTACTCTGCAGGCCAAGAAAGTTACTGGCCTCTGATGCCCATGTCCATGTCCAGCCAACACTTGGAGGTTCCACAGTAACGTCATAAACTATTCCATCAGTGATAAGGAAGCAAGACACCACCATCAGAGTGTACATCATCATGGCTGACGGCCTGTGCACCCAGGCTGGCTTCTGCAGCTTCAGGATGGTGCAATCGAGCACTAAAAATAGGGTTCCCTACAAAGTCTCCATGGTGGCAGCTGCAGAGGCAGCTCTCACCTTTTGCCTATTTTTCAATTGGGTTGAGTTTTGAGTTCTTTATATATTCCGAAGATTAGACTTTTAGTAAAAATATAAGTTGCAATTATCTTCTCCCTTTATGTAGGCTGTCTTTTCACTTTGATTTTCTTTAATGTGAGAAAGTTTAATTTTGAAGTCCAATTTATCTATTTTTATTTTTGTTATTCATGCTTTTGGTGTCAAATCTCAGAATCTACTGCCAAATCCAACGTCATCAGTAATTACATTTTCATCTGAGAGTATTATAGTTGTAGATCTAATAGTTAAGCCACTGATCCATTCTGAATTAATTCATGGTGTAAGGAGTAAGGCCCACCTTCAATCATTTGCATATGGATATCCAGTTTTGAGTATTAGATTTTTAGTTCAACTAAAAAAAAGTCTTTTTTTAGCTATCCTAATGACTAAAGCAAAAATTATGTAAGAAGTGTAAGGAGATAAAGAAAAACTTTAGACCAAAAAGAGATAAAACATATGGCAGCAGACAAAATAGAAAACTGTA